TAAATATCAATATATAATTTTATTATTAAATACATATTTTTATCTTCAAAATTATTTTAATCTTCTATGACTTCTAGTGATACTTAGTTGCCTGTTTAGTCCCTCTGCAAAGGTGACTGTCATTTTTTAATCAGTTGCCTTGTTACAAAGTACAGTTGCGACGTCCAGTTGCTTCTTGTTATGCTAACAGCTCCATAAAGATGGCTGCTGTTGAGCTAAAACCTTGTTTCTGGAGCATGACATGATAAACTAGATAATGAAATACACTGTTGTCTAATGCAAAATCTTAATTAAGTTTCCTCCCCAAACATTGCACCTGTGCACATTTGTCAATAGTGAGCATCAGCTAAGGTTCCTGACACTATAATTAAGGTTTTATGTTAGACTGAGAGAGACAAATGTGTTGTGTAGCGTGCATGCTTATCAGCTACAGGAAGCAGAGGATGGGAGTATGAGTGCTGTTAAGAGATGTCAAATAATTCAGCATTTTCCTTCTCATCAGGGTTTTCACTGGGGGGTGTGTGTGTAATTTAATTTGCCTTTTTTTCTTTTAAGCAAACATATAATTTTTGGTTTTGAAGCAAATTCCAGAGGTAGTTGACTCCCTCAGTTTTCTTTTGGATCAAAAATCATAGAATCATAGAATAGAATCATAGAATCATTAAGGTTGGAAAAGACCTCCAAGATCATCGAGTCCAACCATCAACGCAACACCACCATGCTCACTAAACCATGTCCGTAACCGCCTCATCTACATGTCTTTTAAATACTTCCAGGGATGGTGGCTCAACCACTTCCCTGGACAGCTGAGCCTCCATGAAGAGGAAGAGGGGAGAAAAGGAAAGAAGCTATATAATTTACAAGAATGTTTTGTCAAGGCATGTAATTAGGTGTATGTTAGATGATAATCAGCAAAACTGAAGTGCAGATACATCAATCACAAATGTTTTTGGATGCTTTTTGGAGGCCTCCTTTGCAGAGAATTAAGATTATTTCTGGATGTTTGTGATTCAGATCTTTTTAAAAAGCGTTCAAATTGGGAACATTGATCCCAATTTGACCAGTTTATGCAGGTGAAGCACAGAGACACTAAAGCTTTGGTGTCAGGTCATAGCAGAACCAGGACTGAATGCTACAAGTCTGAGTGCCAGTCTAGCACTGAACTGTCGAGGCAGCATTTATGATTTATGTCATAAGCAACTGTAGTTGTGTAAACAAGCCAGATACTTCCTCCCAATGTTTTTCTAATGTTTTTTTCCTGTGAATTTATTTTTTTAAAACAGCTAGAGATAATAGCTTCTACAACCTATATAGCTCAGCTATTCCTTATACCATTTATCTTAATTACATGAAAGGTGGCACTTCAAAGCATCTAGATGGTATAAGACCTGAACCCTCTTTTCAGAAGAGGTTCTGAGTGCTAAAATCTGACATGAGCATGTAAGCACTATTGAGAAGCTTGCTCTGTCTGATTAAACTGTTCCAAGAATCACCTATTTATGGTAGTGCTTGACGAACAGGGTAGAAATGGTAAACCTTTTTGTTTGCAGATGATGAAAGCCATGAACAAATCCAACGAGCATGTTCTAGCAGGGGGAGCGTGCTTCAATGAGAAAGCAGACTCGCATCTGGTGTGTGTTCAGAATGATGACGGGAATTACCAGACGCAGGCCATCAGCATCCATAATCAGCCGAGAAAGGGTGAGAATGGGGGTTCATGAGGAGGCCTTTCCCTCCCTGCGCTCTGCATGACTTCTTTGCCGTTTGTGTTACTGTTCCAGCGTGTGGCTTTGTGAATTGGTCAGAACTGGGTTTGTCTGCATTTCACTGAGTTTCTGTTACACATTCAGAGAAAGTAATTCTGACTGCTGCCATTACTGAATGAGCAGCTTTATGAGTTAGACACTCAACACAAGGAATAGTAACACGTTGCTCTATCTGCCCTTTACTCCCTTGGTGTTTTATTCCCCTTGCAGAATCCATGATCCTAGATGTCAGAGGGCACACTGTGTGGTTTGCATCCTGTGTACAATCCACATCACACTTCTCTAGGTCAATGGTGCTGTTCTGAATTTGTCTGAGAGGTGTTCTAGCAACTTCATAGATCAAACAGACACAAAATAAAGCACATAACAGCCTGCTCCCTTGTAAATATGGTAATACTGCTTGCACAATACAGCTCAGGATTTGCAGTGTTCCAGAGGTCGCAGTGCTGTAACTGCCTTAGGCAACATCTCTACATTAATAATGAGAGCTGTCTTTGGCATTATTGGAGACTACAGGTGAGGCTGTGGTTGCCTGTGCTTGACCCATACTATGTGAAAGGAGGAAGATTATGTTTAGTATGAGAGAAAGGTAAATAGGAGTAACCAACAACAGCAGCATTTTAATAATGCATCTTCAAGAAACACCTCGTGTTCACCTCGACCATCGCATTTCCAGGCTTTATTTTTGTTAGAGTAGGCTGAAAGGCTGCAGCAGCAGTGTGCTGAGAATTTAAATGTTGTGGGTTTGGGGAAAATTTCTGGCAAAGACATTTATACTATCTCCAAATGAGAACAAGCAAGACAAAGGCCAACTTTCACATTTTGCAAATATCCCCAGTCATTCCAGTGAGTATACTGGCATGGGATGTCACTCAAGACTGATGGTCTTATCTGACTTCTGTTCATTTTACATATGGGACAAGAAGAGGGATTTCCAGCAGGAA